GTAAAGTGTTGAATGTGGATGCCTTCATAAAAATCATATAGATGTTTGCACATGCGGGTTCCAAACCATATTATGAGGTCAGTTCACCTGTAAAAAAATTCCTAATATGATGTCACAAAAAATTAACTCCTTTTCATTTTATCAAACATGCACGGCACTGTCCAGAATGATGTTCGAAAATGTAAATTAGTCTAGAATCTTTATATGTTCGACGTTTCGGCATCGATTTTGAAGCGATTTTCAAGAACTGAAAAATAGAAATAAAAAGATGATATAGGAAAATATAGGGAGTGATTTTTCACTGAGGTCTAAATCTGCCTACTCCTCAGTTAATATCCTGGAAGGTATGTGACTTGACGGCGGGGTCTCAATCTGCCTTCTCCCCAGATGTCGCCACTGGTTCTCTCTAAGATCTCAATCTGCCTACTGAGGGTGTTTGGTTGGGTGGTGGAACAGTATTTATAGTGGACGTGGTGGTCAGTGAAACGGAACTAGGAGCGTGGTTTGTTATGGGACAGGGCGTGGAAAGGCGGGAAATGAGAGGTTTCTAGGTGCTAGAAAGTCTGCGGCCATCGTCGCGAGTATTGAGGCAATCAGGTCGCTTCTCTATCTCAAGGGCTTCGCACATTATCCAGTATGCAGAGTTCTTTCGGTGGCGATTGTTTTGGCGTTTTCGATATCTATTGAGTGGCCTGTTTTTTTGTAATGTTTGAAGAGTGCCGAGGAAGGGTCTGATTTTCGGACTGCAAGTTGATGTTCCTAAACTCTGCTGGTAACGCGTCTATTTGTTTGGCCAATATATGTTCTTGGGCAAACTGACAAGGTATTTCATATATGCCCGAGAATCATTTGATATTGTGTCCTTGAGGGTTCTGAGAAATTTTGAATCTTGGTTGTTGACCGTGAAAATAGTTTTAGTATCATGTTTTCTCCTGAGAAATATATTTATATGTTTATTTAAGAATGCTGAAAGATAGTACAGATGAAACGCTACAACTTTTATATTGCAAGTTTCTTCCACCTCGTATAGTCGAAGCTGTAGGTAGGGATGAAAATATATGGAGAGTCCCTTTACGAAAATTGGCAAAGAGCCAAAATGTACCATCGGAAAAAATTAACGTCACACTTGTTATTATTTTTGTCATTTTCGTAATAGGTTTCCGCAATGATCGTCCGAACTAGGCATTCTTCTCCTCTAACGGCTCTAACGTAGATTGTCGGACCGGTAGGAAGGCACTTTATCATAGTTGGCACTCCGTAGATGCAGATCTGGCAGATTTCAGTACTACCAACAGTCCGCAGTTCAACGGACCCTAATTGTCGATGGTATTGCTCGATTATTTTCTATACTCGGCGTGGCTCGCTGGCGATTATTAATGCCCTATTGGCCGTAGGAAAAATTCCGAGCTATTTTCCGACATCTGTTGATCGATTTTCGAATTCCGACAGAAGAAGCAGAAACACAGATCAATCACGACGATGGATGTTTTCCGATGCAATTGCAATGTCCACGTGAATTTCTGAGCGCTTTTCTCGTTTCAAGATCAAATTCCGTGCTGAAGCGAAGTCACGAATGATACAAAAATACGTAACATTTATTGTGAATTACCCCACGTTGGGCGCCAATATAGTGAAATAACTATAACCATTTTTGGTGTCGATCCTGTATATAAGCGATAGCAGTTGCAAAATTGATAGTAGTATAACCGGTGATCAATACATGATTATTAGGATCTTATCGGCCAGTAACGGATATCTAATTTCAAAAGAATATCATCGTTTCTTCTTCTGTCTGTGTCCCTGATGTATACGAATATTTGGAATAGTCTCTATTCACATTTTTTTCATACAAAATACCCACAGTGTTTTACAATTTGATCTACCCCATCACTGTATTATCGTATTCCTAGAACGATTTGAAAATAAAAATTCTCATAATACACTACTCAAAATTATCTACTTTGTCGAGCAAAAAAATAATCAGTCACTAGCCACAAATACTCCTATATCAGTTTTCAGAGGAATATATTACAGATATATGGGAGTATTTGTGGCTATAGTCCAAATCGATTGCCATTATCAACATTTTTGTTAAATAATGCCTAATCCGTTTTCTTTAATTTTGCTGAAGCTTTTATGATTGCAGTAGGACAAGAAATTGTGAGAAAAAAATCAAATCACCCTAGGAATATAAAAGTACGGTGGTGGGGTGGACCAAATTGTAACACACTGTATATAGAACTACGTATTTTTTCTCTCCCAAGTACACAGTTGTTATTCTACCCCAAAAAGTTGGGCGCCAATTATCGTGGATTATCACTTATCCTTAGACCTTACAGGATCTCAAATTTTGACTTCCACGGTATCCTCAAACAGATATATGTGACTTATCTCTACTTCAATACAGGAACAGGAAAGAACATAAGTATCCTGTCATATATTTAGATAGGAAGATTGTTTTAGTTTTTTTTAAACCCAGACTACTAATGCGCACTGGATTGACTTCTGTAAACTAGAAGAAAGTGAGGTGTTCGTCTGAGATAGAGCATCTCATTCTGAATGATTCCATGAACAATAGAGCAGAAAAAGGTATCGAGTGTTTTCTATTTTGTGTATTTTAATGACGTTTATTCCAAATGTACTCAGTTGTTTTGCTTCTTCAATAAATAGTGTTTTCATTCATGCTGATCGCACTGATGTTTCGATGCTCAAAATAAGCAAATCTTCTTCATATGTTATGGGCCAAAAAAGCTGACTCACAATAACCATGAATTATTTTTTTAACCAAATTTTCTATACAAAGTCGTCTCAAGTTGCAATCGAATAAAACTGCGTTTAAAAAAAAAATGAGGGAATTTTTTTAACGATAATCGTCTTGTGACACACAATAACACTTGACACTGAGGAATAAGAAACGAAACCAGATGCCAGTCGAAAATAAAACCATAACGATCACCATCATTTTTGCAAAGTGCATAATAATATAGCGAGGAATGTGATAAACGTGAGGCGCAGTGGCGTAGGTAATAGTCGTTAATAAAAATCAACATTAACACTGTCGCTAAACTCTTCCACAATTTCCAATAATTATAAAATCGGTAGTCTAACTTTGTTGTTAGAATAGTCTGTCATCAATTATTCGGATGGGTACAAACATTTTTAGGTTATAAGGGGATCTGGTTTCACAGGAGAATTACAATTAGAAAACATAGCATTAAACAGTTTGTGGAGTTGAGGGAGAGAGGTTTTTCCTTCAAGGCTAGTTAATATGTTACATTGGTGTAAAACTTTCACAAATAGCTTAGCATACTTCGATCTGCTCTTGGTATGTTTAGGGTGTTATTTTTTATTTCAATCGCCAATTGGAAGACAATGTCTTGGCTAACAATGCATCGTCCATCAATGTCAAATATGTCTCATTTGTCTTTATCGAATATGGCAAACCTCGTGCTAGCTCATCTATCGCTGTTTCGTTCTTCCATCGCCATAGCGACTCTTTTAATTTTCTATCGGAACTCGATGAATCAATACCCTAGCGAGTGTTCTTCTCTTTTCCAACACGAATTCCTTATTGATTTTAGACGCCATTATCGCAAGATTGATGTTTTCGAAACTCGGAATTTTTGCCATTTCAGCTGTTACTGACGCTGGCAAAGGTCCTGGCATCAGGTGATTAGTGCTAAACATATATGTTCTTGTCATCTGGGTATGCGGGATCATCTTGCTATTTTCATTGATATATCACATGATGCGAAAGGTACTTAATGATAATAATTTACGTTACAAGACCGACAAATAGTGTTTTGCCAGCTGACAAAAAGTCGACTCTTTCGGAAATGGAGCGCTAATAGCTAAAAGCCTCTTTATAACCAAGTTTCAGCTCTCTCCCTTTGCAGATCTATTATTGTGGAGCTCTTTTGTGTATTTCATAGCATTCCATCTAGCTTGATCATCTTTCGGTTACCTAACTGAATAAACTATGTTTATTATCAGATGGATGATAAATGAATGAAAGGGAATGAAAATAGTATCTGGACTTGGGTAAATGACATAAAACTGGCTTGATATTTACTGCATCCAAAGACTAGTTGAGGAATAGTGATAATTGAATATTAACCGTAAAGAACCATAATAATTGAAATATCAACTCGAGTAGTTGATAACTCTTCAACTCATAATTGAAGTGAAGATTTGAAATAACAGATCACTTTATCAGCGTTCCGCCTATCACGTGACACAACTGAACAGAACAAAACTCAAAAATGAACTTCTACAAAATTGTGCCAAACATTACTTTTGTATAGTTAGTGTATCACGTAACATGAGGGAAGCGAAAACCCAGCGCCAAATTGTATCTGGCCAATCATGTGATGTTGTTCCATCGTTTGGGTGGTAATTGGAAATCTCTCAACTATGAATCAATCCAAATGAAACCATAAATAACATTCAACTTATGTTACAAACCGTAGGATATTGTGTTTGCCTTTGCATGGGCAAAAAACAATAAACCCAGATCCTTTACAGTATGTGTTTGAATAAAGAAAACTATTCGGATCCCTGTCAGATGGACCGAGCTAGCCTTGTCCGTTTTACAATCCAAAAATGATATCGGTTTGTTGGAAAAAAGGCATAGTAAAAAAACCAACAACTATATCTCTCGATACCATGTCCTTATTCATCTTATAATATGATAATAGTTACTCAAATCTATTAGTATTGTCGCAACATATCAAAACTAAATCTATTGAAATTCATTTGCGGTTATAATGGCCAACTGAGGGCTATCAGAGACCCGTGAAGAGGGTTGTAAACTATAATTTGGGTTCGGATCTCGATTTCGATGAACTGTGAAATATACTGGGCGATGTAATTTCAACCAGCTTAGGATTGATTCGATATTCTAATATGAATGATAAAACCTATTCATAGTAGCTTTCTTAGATCTGGTAGGTTGGTACAAAATGGAAATCTTGTCTGGAAACACTGACTCTTTCACTTACCTCAACGGTAACGATGGTATCGGTGTGCTGGTTGCCATCGCTGCACCTCACCGTCAATTTGTAGTCGTCCTCGGTCTCCCTGTCCAGTGAATCGACCAATCGCAGCACGCCGCTAGCTGAGTCCAGAGCGAACCTGCCGTCGCCACCACGTATCAGGGTGTACCGCAAGGTTCCGATCGTGTCCGGATCGATCGCCGCGATAGTAGCTATCGGCTGGCCGGCAACCAGATCCTCGGAGACGGTGAAACGGAGAGGGGCGGCCTCGAAGGAGGGGGGGCTGTCGTTTTTGTCCAACACGGTGATCTGGACCTGGAAAAGATGGGGAGGGGTTAGTTGGTTGTTTGCGGGTGGTTAGGCGGTAGTTGACTTCAATTCCAATACAATCAATCAATTTATTCAATTCAATAGTGAATGTTACATATCGTAAATAGTATCTTATTACATTAAATTTGAATAGAAATTATCAATAAGTAAATAAGTAAATAAGTGGTGGTGTTCAGTTCTTGGGAGACGGATAAGCAGAGCTTGTGTTGCGTATTTTCCCAGATCTGGGCACAACCATGGAAGTAAATAGACAAAAAAAATAAAGGAAACTATTCATTCATTTCAGTAATAAATAAGAATTAAAAATTGACAGAAATCAATACAATTCGATATTTCGGATAAAACAAAATTGTTGTTGAATTCGATTGACGGAAAAAAGGAATTGTTGAATCAAGCAAAATTCGATTGAATGAAGCAAATGAAGTATCATATATGAACGACAAAATATAATCTTGAAATGCGTGAATCTATATCTTGTTCCAGAGCGAATTTGAAGTTCGAATTAAGTAAATATGTCTTGCATGAACTCTGGATCTCATCCAATCAAGCACATCCATGAATTTTCTTATTGAATTGGCTCAAATAATCATTTTGTTTGTTTCAAAATAACAAGATATTGATTCAATCAAATATTCAGTTGATTCAATGAAATATTTGGTTGATTCAATTAATTATTTCTTTGATTCAATGAAATATTTGGTTAATTCAATGAGATATCTGGTTAATTCAATGAAACATTTTGTTAATTCAATGAAATATTTCGTTGATTCAAGAAAAACTGTCATTCCATCCGACAAATTATTTTGTTGAACAAAAAGGCGAAAATTTAACTTGATCCTTATTTCATTGACATTACATATTTCCTTGCTATATTCAAGCGAATGATCCGTTCGAAACGAGTTCATTGCTACTACTAGTTTATCTTCTGTAGTCTATGCTACTACATCGGAATAAGAAAACTTGTATGTTGTTTCCAAGATATATTCTCATCAAAATGATCATTATTTAGAAGTTTAAATTTTTTATCCGAACCACTAAGAAAATAGATGAAATGAGGATCTTTGAAGGGAAAAAATCGAAAATCAGTCACAAGCGAATTGATAGTATGGGCATTCTTCATTATAAAATATCTTGAATTGAAGAAATGCGTGAGAAGAAACCGTTCTTCCGGGAACCAGAAAGTAAATTTAATCGCCCAACCTTAGCTCGGAGCTTATAATAAAATGTAGCATTTTTTTGTTTGGATTTATACTTGTAATTAACATCTCAAAGTCGGGGAAGAAGGGTTTGCATGGTATTTTTCTATTCAAACTTGAACTTCATGTTCATGTTCACAGTCATTCAGCTATACCGCCTACGCACCTATCAATAATATATCTATTTACTTTTTGATTTAATGACTCGAATGATTCATTAACATGCGATCACGTCTTGATTCGCTCGATTCATAGAACACCATTATTCGGTAATTATGTATTCTATGGACAGCTCTCGAGACAGAGTATACCATACCTGTTAGGATAGTTCGTTTAACTCTCTATCTCTGTCTTTCTCGCTGAGGTTATTTGACATTATTTCGTCCGGATCGGGCATATAAATAAGAAATGATTGTGCTTCGAGCACCGGTCTTGATTAACTATGAATTATTTGATGAGAACAATGCTAGCAAGCATGGCCGTACCCGAATGGGCTACTGGACTGGTAAAGAATTGGCATTCAGTTACTCAATAAAATGAAGAGATTTTGTATTTCGTGTGAAATTTATAATAAAATCGCGAAGCGCTTTCGGCTAAAAAGCCATCATCAGTGCTATACCTGCAAGTAAGTAACATTTATGACATTTCAAAATGACAAATCAGAAAGTGTAGATTACCTAATCGTCAAGTATTTACAAAATGGTCAAAAAATTAGGAATCGACGACATCATTATAGTAAAAACGGAATTAGGAACAGACATTTATTCACCAAAAAAGTTCCCTAATGGGTTACTGTAAATTTTTTTCAAAAATACATGTTAAAATTGTTTAGTTCAGGTCCAAGAAGAGCATGAGGGACCTCAACCTTAATTAGTCTGACGAATATTTGACATTTTTAACCATAATAGTTTTGTTGACAGACTGAGTGTCTATGTCCATGAATGAGTTGACATGAGTATGAAGTCGACAAGTGACATAGTGAATGCCCTGGACGCCTGGAATGCCCAGAGGACGTCCTCTGGAACGTCCATAAGACGTCCTCTTGAACGATCATAGAACGTCCAGGGAACTACCATGGAATGTTCATAGGATGTCCCTGGACGTACGTATTAATCTTGACTTTGAATTTTTTTGAGTCTCTTGCATAACAGGTGAGAACATCCAGGTAAGTTGATGGTCCGTAGAAGGTCCTCAATCGATCGTGAAGAAGGTTCCCAAGGATGTCCAATGGACTTGCATGAAAGACATCGACCGGCCTACGAGCAGTCGATCGTCGGCGAGGTGTGTGTTAACGTCCTCGCAGGGACAACATATCTCGCGTACCGACTGGGACATCCGTAAGACGTTATTCCTAGGACATTGAAAATTATCATTCGCTTGCGTGAAGAAAATTTATATGGGATGTCTATCTGAACTCCTGATGCCAATGAATACCACCGATTGATGTCCCTTAAGATACATTCCGAATCGTATCCAGGACATTCTGAGGACGTCCTTGGGATGTTCATAAGACGTTGTACTCATGACATCTTATGAAATGATATTCCCCGAAGAATTTTCTTGTACCTACTCATTACTTAGATGAACATATGAATTATCTATAGGGGTTCCTTCCGAGGTCATAACAGTTCATGTACCAATTAAAACATCCGACGGATGGATATTTATGTGAGACAATTTTTATTGCTAATTAGGAATATTACCAATACTCAATTGAGAATTTATGAATTATAAACTAATAACTAATATTTCTTAAGTTCCCAATCGTTTTTACTGGCGGCAATTGATGATTTTAGCACCTCAAAATCCTTAAAAAATATTAAATTGAAAGTAATTTGAGTGAAGATTCTATTTAAGAAATAAAAAAAAATTGGTCCACTCGCTTATTCTTTTATATACTGAATTGACTGAAGTCGGCTGTCCAATATTATCAGATTCAAATTACTGAACCCGCTTTCCCAATGTCAAAATTCAGTTTGTGGTATTCTATTGCTCATCGCTCTGTCTCTAATTATTTCAAATTTGTATCAACATTCTACAAGGAAACTAAAAAGCCTGTAACTAATTCCCTAGTCAGTGAACAGCGTTGACCTTATAGAAGAAGAAGCCGTCCGAGGTTTATTACCTTCTGAACCTCTTATTTATGAAATGAAGATTATCTAAGTAGTAAAATATTTATTGGGAGATATGTTGAGGTGCTAATCGGAATCCGGTAGTGGTCGATGCAAATCCCTTTATTCCTGAGAAAATAAAATCCGGCACCACTTCAAAGAGAAATTATAATTGCTCGTAAATATTTTACCATACCCATAGAAGAGATTCGAAATATGAAAGAGGAGAAAGGTTACTCAGACTTGAGAACTTAATATGTATCCATCTTTGTGATTGATGTATTATACATATTGACGAAATGGAATTAGTTAGATTGATGACAATATTAGATTGAGCTTAATGAGGGGCAGATTAAGGAAGAAGAGTAGGCATTAAAGTGATAAACATACTTAACATTAAAATTTGAGGTTTACCTATTAGGAAATGTGAATGTCCAACTGATTATCTTTCGAAATAAAACAATAAAAAATAACTGCTGCAGAGATACGAACATAAGATTCGTCCTCCACTCCATACTGTTCTAGAGATCAGAACACATTTTGGAACAATCGAATCACTATGGGTATATGAAAAATTACATAATTTGTTTTCTTCAATAATGATATTTGTATCACTCCTTTCAAGGTTAGATATTGAGCATAATTTCTGAAATGAAGTATTAATTAGCCTGCTTACAGGAAATTCTAATCCTTTAGGTTCCTATTCAAGTTTAAGGCAAAGCAATGTTAGGTCATTTTTTGTACAAGTACATATTTCTTCTGAAGAATCTACTGTGATAGTCAAAGATGTCGCGTATTTCGAAGAATAATGTGAACATTTTACTGTTGGTGAATTTTCCTGCATTTGTTATGGATTTTTATCAAGTAACGTGAGTAATCAATTTTCTATTTTCAACTCCTATCGGATATAGATATCGTAATTCTTCCATTGTAAAATTGTTCTATCCGTCATTCGGTTGCCCCCTTACGAGCAACCCTCAGAAGTCTTCGAGAGTCTTGTGCGAGCAAGATATGGCGGGGGCCTTACCTTTTAACGTGTGATCCCAAACACTTTCTTGGGCCATCAGAAAAATGTCTGCAGTCGCTGGGAATTGAACCCACGACCGGTAAGTGAATGCGGATTAGAATACTGACACTCTCTCCGCACGGCTATACCTATAGGTAGATACCTCGGTAGACACTCAATCAGATTCTGCTTTCAATAGCTATTTTAAACAAGCCATTGCTTGAGAATTAAAAAAAAACACTTTTGTCAGACCCATAATATGACCTTGAAGCTGTTGTGTCAAAGTCAACTTCTGTCGAAGTAATCCTTCCAACTTCAGTTATTCAATATACATTTTTTGATGATTTGTGAAGTGCAATCAAATCTAACTTGAAACGATGTATCACACTTGAAATTTTGACATACGTAATTCTTCCAACATTAAAAAACTCGGAGGAAACAGTGTTTAGACCATTTCTTTTGTAAAGATTTTTTTGACAGTTGTTCGTGCACACGTCTTTTAGTATTTTTGTAGGTACATCCACCTGAGGAAATGCCTTTAACATTCAGTCTGAATAAGTATTCTGTCAATTGAACATTAGTCAAATCATCAAGTGTGATACATCGTTGAAGTTAAAATTGATTGAACAAAAACATGCTAAAGCATTTGAGAGAATTTGTTTATATCCATGG